TTGGTATGATATGACAAGCAATATGTATTTAGAAGAGCAGAATGACAGGCATTCGAAGCATGACCCTCCTATTACACATTGCTATCCTCAGTGGAGTTGCTTAGTTCACAGGTATCAGCATATACAGTTAGTCAGGGTGAGACTCCTACCAATTAACTGCTAGTTTCAAAAGCCTGCTGAAGATTCTCAGGACCATTGCCTTACGCATCTTGTGCATGTAAATATATGGCTTTGCCCCGTCGTGTTTCCTAGCTTTTCTCCTTGCTCTCTTCATTGTCCAGTCCTCAAGTTCTCGCTTTCCTTTTAATTGTTTTATACCTTTCTATTTTTATTTCTTCTTTTGAGTTCTTATATTAGGGAAACTATATGATATTTACACATGTGGACCAGACCATTTTTTGAAAAAAATTATCTCAGGTAGTTACAGCTGCAGACAGCTGGTACACCACCGTGCTACGAGTGTTTCCAGACGCTGTTTTTTTTCTCTGTGTGTGTGTGCTTGTGTGTGTGTGTGTGTGTGTGTGTGTGTGTGCATGTGCGCACCACAGGAGGAAGTAAATGAGAGAAGTGCAGAGACACCTGGGGCTTGGGAGACCCAAAAGTTACGATTCTGTGGAGGTCTGAGGGAATCCATGTTGGAAGGGATCGGTGTGAGTGGTGCGGCCAGCGAGCATCTGCTGAGCAGGCCATGCCGGCGGCCTCCTGCACTAGCCACGCAGCAGCTGCGGTCCTTGGCCAGCTCACACCCACTCAGCACGCTGACCTGTAGCTCTTGAGCGACGGCATCAACGGAGCACAAGGAAGCAGCTCCTGCCGAGCCGCTGCCTCTGGCTTGTCGTTGTGAGAGATGCGCGACTTCCTGAAAGTTTCGGCGTTTGCTATTTGCTCTCGTCGATACAAGGAGTGACTGATGAGTACGGCAAATAGTGAGATTATGTTAGAGAAATTCCCAGTAAAAAACACCACCAAGGATAATAACATACATGAAATGGGTGGTATTTGAAGGGGGATTAACAGCAATGGATCTTTCACTGTAGTACATTTTTTTTGTTTGAATATTCATCGTTTTTTGAATACACTTCATTGATAAAATGCTTGTGGTAATTCCTGTCAAATGAAAGTATGGCGATGTGCTGTCATCCGCCTCATTCACCAGATCTGGCACTGGATAATTTCCGGATTTTCCCCAAAGCCAAAATGATCGTGAAAGGTAAATGCTTTTTATTAAAGCTGAATGTGTTGAACCAATTCAGGACACTGACACAGTCAGGACGGTATAGCTAAAGACACTGAGGAAAGAGAACTTCCAGAGCGGTTTCAAAAAATTGGTAAGAATGACGAGATTAAATGTGTTCAAAGCCAAGAGGAGGATTCTGAGAGAGTTTATCGGAAATGTATCTTTTACTGTAGTCATTAAAAAATGGTACATTAGCCACATTTTTGATCGTACTCTTATTGCTTTCAAATTTAATATCATCAGCTCCTTGTTCTTTTTAGATGTATTTCAAAATCCCAAAGTCACGTTATTTTCTGAGAACAAAGGGTATGGTGAAGTTGTCTGATGAGAGGTCCAGCCTTCTAGAATCTTCCACTGTACAAGAGCCACCCACAGTGGCCCCGAAAGGTGCAGGAGGAGGTTTTGCCCTGTCACCCTGCTTCC